TTTTTGCTATATATACCATGTGACATTTCATGGCACTTACAATACCTTGACATATTCTTAAATTCGATTTCCAAAATTGCAATTTTTTTTTTAATGATAAAAATAAATCTTCACAATTACGTATATAAGGTAAATGTATTCTACTTATTCTCTCACATTCCAAATCTTACTCATTTCTCTTTTAACATGATATAGGCAAGTTTCTTTGTATTACACTAACACAATGTACCTTCTCAATAATTACAAAAATTTCCCCTAGATAACTTTCATATTTTACTTTTTGGGGAAAAATAGCTTTCATATTTTACCCTTCGTCTTTACCTTGATTCAGACCTTTTTATTTCTTTTTTTATCCTTTTTCTATCATCTAAGTTGAATAAGAACTTTGTTTTTAACTTAAAAAAGGTTTTCTTTTTCCTCTTTTAGCATATAGTGATATGATGATAAGAATACTCCATTCCATTTTCTGTATAATGATTAGAATTATTCGGTTTTCTAAAATTACACGTTGTAAATAAACAAATAAAAAGTAACTAAATAAAGTTTATCATAAAGTTTTAGCATATTAGATAAGAAAAAGGCAGAAAATAATATTCATTTAATAGTATCTCGCAATAAGATCGAAAATGAACTGATTTTATTAAAATTAAAAATTATTAAAACTCGACTTATTCGTTTACTTCATTTTTTATTTTTCAATTCATCTATTTTAAAATGTTCTACAACCTGATTTTACTTTCATTCAATATTTATTAGTAAGCAAAAAAGATGTTCTCAATTATACTTGGAAAAACTAAATTATTTTAAGAATTAAATTATGTTTCATGATTTATTTGAACTTTATTGCAACATAAAAAAGGTCAAGTAAGAAATTTAAATTTATGTTTGGCATTCATTTTATGAAAAATATGTCATGAGAGGTCTTTATATAGTCTAGTAAAAGAAAGACGTCTCTGTAATCATGAGTTAGCTGATGCGAAAATTTTGTGATTTGCTCTCATATTTAAAACCGACATGTGAAACTTTGTAATTGGATGGTATGTGAGAATTAAACTCAAGACATTAGATGCTCTGGTGTCATGATAAAATCAATATTCTCAAAACTGAGCTAGACTGGCTATTTTAACAAAAAATCTGTAGAGATATATGCAAAATATCGAGAAGTTAGAAACTGTTACACCAAGATAAGAAACGACTTATTCGAATCAAGAATGGATTAGGTCACACAACATACAAGTCGGTTCAAACAAAAATTGATTTCACAAAAATTGTTATCTTGGTTTTATTTCTTTTCCATCATTTTGACATTGATTCAACCATTGACCACTTAAGTGAATGAACTGATTTTTATAATATCAAAGGAGGTATTTCATCAAAAATATTTGCTCGAGCTATTTTTAACTCGAATTCCACTTGAAATGACTCTTTCAAACTCCTAATAATAATAATAATTAGTTTTGGACCTTATGAACCGGCCCAAATGAAGAGTTGACACCAAACCCCAATAATGACTTATGGTTGAAGCTTTTCACTGATTTATTATTATTATTATTATTATTATTATTATTATTATTATTATTATTATTATTATTATTATTATTATTATTATTATTATTATTATTATTATTATTATTATTATTATTATTATTATTATTATTATTATTATTATTATTATTATTATTATTATTATTATTATTATTCGAAAACATTTACTTTTGAATTTTAAAATCTCCTATAAAAGAAGAGATAATGTTCAAAATACAAGCAACTCATGAACTGTTCACAAGAGAAATAGTAGCTTACAAACTAGAAAATGGATTATTCTATTCGTATCTCTTGATATAAAAAATCACGAACCACAACCAACATCAAAATATATCATTACAATCAAAAATCATAATTCGTTTGGAGAAAAATTATTTGGAGAGTTTATACTATCAAAGCATCGAATTTTACCATCCTTTTTAAATTTAAATTTCTCATCAATAGTAATTTTTTTATATTTGTTCTCCATTAATGTTTCCTTAAACTCGTTCCATTGTCGTAACTTTGTTTTTCAAAAATAAATTTATTAGAATATTATTACTATTAATATTTTTTATTTTATTTTTAGGAAAATTATAACGCGTAAAATTACACAAATTACACAACTTATAGTAAGTTCTTATAGTAAAATTACACAAATTACAATATTTTTAGTAAGTGCTATTACTACTATAGTTGCCATATAGGAAAGGATACATCTATCGTTATCAAAACGTATATGAATTCAAGTAAAACTCTATTAATCCAAATAGAATTATAAGTTTGTTATGCATGTGGCTCATATAGAGTGGAACACAGGTCCTGGATCAAATGGGTCGATGCCGACGCGGAGCAGAGTGGAATCAAATGAGATATTTCTTGTACGGGTCTTAAAGTCTTAAATGAGTCCAAGGTAGGATTAGTATAAATAATATGTTGTAACCCCATTTTTCACTACTAAATAAAGATATCTCCGCTTCGCTCTCATGGACGTAGACACATCGCCGAACCACATAAATTCTTGTATTGATTATCTTTTTCATCTCTTTAATATTGCGCATAAAATCCAACAAAGTTCCATCTAAAAAGGATCATCACATGGGACATTAGGTAACTAGGAATAAAATTCCCTATAAACTCTTCAAGTAAGTTTTTACATAATTAATATTCTCATTCAACATATATTGACCTGAACATCAGATGAGAAGGGAAAAGTTCTCCAACACTTTTTTTAGGTTGTCTTTGACATCTCTCGTGTTATTTTTTATAAGATTGTTGAGTTAATTGAAGTCAATACTATTTCTTCAGAGATTTTAACCGCAAAATTCATTGTCGGAAAAGAAAAAGAAAAGAAAACATATTTGGGATGAAATAAGTTCGCATAACGATCAAACGTTAAACAAAATCAAAATTATGCTAGTTCTACCCACTTTAAATGAACTTAACCTAAACATAAATCAAAACTAAAACAAAATCCAAAATTTATCTTAAAATTACTTAATTCCTGCTTATCAACTAGAAATTACCATATAATCTGAACGTGAATAGTCTTAAATATGTCCAAGAAATTCCCAAAAAAAAAAAAAATGAAATGAAAAGGTAAAAGTAAAAGCTATAGAGTGGGACCTTGGGATTGGTCAGGTGTCACTTCCATCAACTTAGCGTATACCCTAGGCTTTCTAATTCTTTGCAAATAATGGCAACAGTGTACAAGAAAAACCAACCAAATCAGTAGTAATTTAAATACTGATACAACCAATTGATCTGTCATATTAGAAGCTGCAAAGTTTGAATCGTTAACGTATTTGGAAATTTTAATTACTTTATTTGTTAACATCTTCCTGCTTCTAGTCCATTAAGATCTTAAGATTAGGTGGTTCAACAACAATTCTTGTTGAGATATTTTACTTTCAACTCTCTTAACTGCCCTTCTACAATTCATAAAATGGTAATAATCACTTACCATAAATAGAAATATCCAGTTTTGAGTGACAACAAGTATGTAAATATAGTCGAATGAACTTAAATAAAAGATTAAGACATTAAAAAAATTGAATATACTTGTTTTTATATTAATATTATTCAATGTATATGTAGATTAAATTCTTTTTATTTCCATTAAATATATAGAACTTTGAAGCACATTCCAAAATATCCAATCCTGCTTCCAAAAACCTGACATGAGGCTTGAATTCTGGAGACACACAGCTACCAATTGTTATGTCAAACTTTCTCAAATCCCATAATATTCAAGGGACTATAAACAATATTCCAGTTCCATCAGAAAACGACAGCCATGACGAAAGCAATAGGAAATATCAGGTGTACATATATATAATTTTTTTTATTTCAATTATGTAATGTCACCACAAACAATAGAAAAACTGAAAACTGCTAAAAATTTGAACTAAATTGGCATATGAAGCTAGCTCGTGAATTACTTCATTCTCGAGCGTGAAATAAAGATCCCATTCAAAATAAATAATGCGTGTGTATAAATTTCTTGAGTTTTTATCGCAGAGCTATTCACCCTAAACGGATAAGTGATAATGATAATTACTGAATCTCACGAATTCTTTATGTATCATAGTTTTGAACAAGGGAAAAATTCAGTTGTTTTTTCCATCTGGTATCCATTAGAGTTATGCCTAGAAATATGTATTCCTTTATAGAATTTTATGTTAAACTCATAGTCTAATGATTTTTGAAAAATGCTTGAGGTACATTGTGGTGTCCATTTTGGTGTCTAAAATGGACACCCGGCACCCACAGGCGCCTCGGCCAATATTGAGGCGCCGGGTGTCCATTTTGGACACCAAAATGGACGCCACAATGTACCCATAGCACTATTGATGATTTTTTCTGTTGAGCCCATTAATCATATTCGTCCAACAGTACTAATTCTTAGACAAATAATTCTGGAATAAGTTCGCAAAAACAATTTTCATACGGAGATGACGTGTATAAAACAAAAACAACAACAACAACAACAATAATAAGAAGAAGAAGAAGAAGAAGTCTTAATTAGAACAAATTTGAAGATCAGGGTCTATACTTTTTTATTTAAGAGCATTATTCTTAAGAATGATAAGTTCTATACATATATACTTATACATTCACATTGAATACCAAATAATCCCAAATGCATTACAACTAAGCAGTTATTGGCAATAATTGATCTGAAGATACTAATGAAGATTATATTTTGACAAGTGTGTAATAATATTAATATTTTCTTTAGGTAAGTATGGTACATTTAGTGGGGGTGATAATTAGGATGCCATGCTCAATAATTGTAACTTACTGACTAAACGTATGGTTAATGGCAGTGGTACCAAAAAAAAGCAAAAAATACTAAGAAAGAAACTTGTCATGGCCCAATGCATGTCAACTCAATAGTCTGATGTGAACTTAATCTCCCCTACCCCACCCCCATTTTTATCCTCACTATTCCTTTAACCATCAACTGCAGGTTTCACCTTATATAGGAACAAAGGAAGAAAAAATTGATGAACTATGGAGAGAGGGAAAGAATTGGCAGAGGGGTCATCAAGATCCCCCGGTGGCGGCGCCGGTGGTGATTCGCCGCTATCCACGACTCCCAGCCGCTACGAGTCTCAGAAAAGAAGGGATTGGAACACTTTTGGGCAGTTCTTGAAGAACCAGAGGCCACCAGTTCCTCTCTCTCATTGCAATAGCAATCATGTACTTGAATTTCTTAGATATCTTGATCAGTTTGGCAAGACTAAAGTTCATTTGCAGGGCTGCATCTTTTACGGGCAGCCGGAGCCACCAGCGCCGTGTACTTGTCCACTGAGGCAGGCTTGGGGCAGCCTCGATGCACTTATTGGACGACTACGCGCTGCCTATGAGGAGAACGGTGGATCACAGGAGACTAATCCATTTGCTAGTGGTGCAATAAGGGTTTATCTGAGGGATGTAAAGGAGTGTCAAGCTAAGGCAAGAGGAATCCCTTACAAGAAGAAGAAGAAGAAGGATAGCCCAGGCAAACCAGATGATGATTCCAGTTCATCCATGCCATTTTCTTGATTCAATCTATGGATCAAAAATTGGTAATTAATTTCTATCTTTAGAATACTCTTGTGCTTATATAGTACTGCTTGAATTATTTGTACTTTGTTCTTCTTTCGTAATTCCAGTTGGATCCGAATCACATTGGAGAATCAATATATGTGCACAACCTTTTCTTTTATTCATCTGTGATCAAAGACACATTGTTGTCGATGATCAGTGAATCCTTGAAGAACATTTCAAAAAAATCTATCTGATGAAAGAAATTTAAATTAAAAAAAGTGTCCATAAGTTCCCCGAAAGTCAAAAAGAGCTCATTGTAAATAAAGAATTGAACAGCTTACTTTCTGAAAAATATATATTTTCCCTTCAGTATAAACCCTAGAAGTAACGCATACAATCAAAGGTAAAACAAATCTGCTATATGAATTCTTTTTTACCACTCTATTCTTATCTCACCCTAAGAAAATTTACTAGGATTCATGTCATAAACATGATGATGGTTTTACATTGTCTATCAACCAACCATTCCCCAATTTCTTCATCCTAATGGGGGCATAGGTAGAATTACGAACGCTTAAAAGAAATACATGATAAACAAAAACTTAAATCCTCAGGAACATTTTACAATTCTGAAAATAATCTCAGACAAATCTACTACAATATGATTCAAAATTTATTCTTAGAAAATGTTATTTTAAGTTTATTTGAAGTAGGATGGCAGTGATGATCTTTTACCCCCAAGAAAACGATTGATTTTCTTCGGATATCAGGTAGATTCTTGTGCTCTTTTTTCATGTTTTCCATCATTAAACAATTTTCTGCAGTAACATGATCCCAATTTAATACTCTATTGCATGTCAACTTCTAGTTTTATGGATCATCTTTTGGGATTCTTGATAGATCTTTCGCCCCCACGTAGATTGTCATTTTATATTTTTTGACATGAACTAGAACATTCTCATTGAGCAAGATCGTCGTAGAGTATCATTTGGGTTTAAGGTAGGAGACACATTTGCGTGAGTGTGTATATATATATATATCCTAGTATTGACAAATATTTAATTAAAACTTTACTCTACTTTATATTTTTCATAAATTAATCAACGTATAGTAGTAGTATTTTATTCCCATGCAGGCCTACTTTTTTTGGGCTTTCATTTTCGATATTTAATCCTCCTCTAATCATTGTAAAACCTCTCAAACGTACGAAATTAAATGAATGCTTATTAAATTATTTTAATTTGCCGTTATTAAAAAACGCATTAACATCAGTCCCCCACTAATTGCAATAATTTTAGTGCATAAGATCTTTGTGAGGGTATTTTAGAAATTTGAATTAACATATTGAATTTGTCCTTTGCATCTTTACTAGATTGCTTCCAGTGTGCATCAGATTTTGTGGGACATCACAATTATTCATTTGTTGTCACAATGCTTTGCTTCATTCATGTAATAAAAATAAAAAAATTAAATTTTTTTTAATATTTTACAGTTTGAAACGATCATCTTTACCAATGGCATGCATTCTTCTTCTTCTTCTTTTTGTTTTTCTTACATTACAGAAGTATGGTTTTGTATATAAAAGAAGGAAATATGATCTACAGTAGGAGAATTTTTTGTTTGTTTAGCAAAAAACAGGAAATTTATAACTTAATTATGAGTTAACTGATCTTTTAAGAACAGCAGAATCTTGCTTTACAATTGCGCGAGGGCAACCTTGCTGAGTAGTGAGTTTAAGTGAGATGAAGTAGATCTTTTAACAAGTAAGCGAAGTTGACTATTTCAGAACTTTTTAGTTAATTTAATCAAAAGAACTAAGATAATTTGATTTCGAGGTTTAAAAGTTTAACCAGCTCACAAAATATGGTGTTAGTTTAATTAAAAAAAAAATTTGTATTATTTGTCATTATGATTTACCAACTTTGAAGTATGCAACATGTAGAATGCATATTTATATGCTATGACTCCGTATAATTTTTGGTTCACTAGGAATTAATTGTACAATCCCACATAGTCTTTGTTTTTGGAACTTGCCTATTTGTTCCACTATTAACATAATTGATTTGTATCTACGTCGTGTGGGGTCTAAAATCCAACCACTTTAATCTCCTATTTATAGAATTCTCTTTTTGTTCTTTGAAGCATCTTAATTTGTGAGACGATAATAAGACTTAAGAACTTTTTGTACTCTCACGCACATTATGGTTTGAATATTTTATACTGTTTTTTTATCTCATACTATGTACTATGTAGGAGCATTTGTAATTTTTTTTAACCAAGTGCTGAATCATATGTTTGTTCCTCCTTTTATGGTTTGCCTTAAATCTCAATCTTGAGACTGTCACAAGAGTTCAACATATCTACACAACAATCCAAAACCAAATGTAACATGTTTCAATTATATCTCAGAAAGTTCCACGACCAAAAAACCAAATCCCACTACTAAACCAGTAAAATCTGCCCAAAGGTTGAAACAAAGCAACATTACATAGCATCTACCTAAAACATATTTATAGTAAAACAAAGTAGTTTCTTTATTAATACCAGCGTCACTAAAGCATTGCTAATTAAATAAATATTTCTTAATAACATTTTTTATTAATTATCTAAGTTGTCATAATTCAAATGAATGAGGCTGCTTTGTTGTAAAAAGAAACAATTATTGATATGCAGCTGGTGTCCTTTTCATTTAAGAACAAGTGAGTAATTCCCTTACGGTTTTGGGGGCCTCTCATGGATTCCTTAACTGTAAATACCATAACAGTAATATTCAAAATGTTGCTCCAAATTCAATGCTTTTCCTCTGCTAAAAAATTGTGTCATCTACGATTTCTTTCTATCCATTTTTAGTAAATATGTTCACTACTTGTTCATTCGTTCAGTAAACAGAATCTTTCTTTATATTTACTATTTTAATCCATGTTTAACACAAAAGTTTTGTGTATTAGGCTCGGTTACATATAGATAAGCTTGTGCACTACGACTCTAAGAGAACATAAATCACAAGCTTAAAGCAAGTTGGAGAAAAAATAAAATGCAAAAACTTGTGCTTGTGATTGGATTTAATGATAAAGATTGTCCAAAAGATAAACAGATAAAACAAGAATGTTCATGTACATCAACAATTAGAGATGGTTTTATAGAAAATAAAATTAAAGAAATGATGATGACTTGATGCATACAAAACCTAAAGAGCTTCTCAAGTAGTGTGTGTGAGAATTATTATGGACTCAAAATTTGAATCAAGCATTCAAACTCAGAAGAATGCTACAAGTGAAAAAGTTTACTTTTTAATAATGAGTTTCCTTACTTCGTTGTTTGTTAACAAATGATTCTTGCAATTGTTTCACTCTTATTTGTACTTGAAGTAGGTGTATTGCATCTAATGTGTGTGCATGAGCCCAAAAACATGATCATTCTCTTAGATTCAAAGGTAAAATAATTATTGTATACCAACACTTATTAATATATTTCGAGATTCAAGTTTCATATTTGAGATAAATTGGTTGGTGATTATGTTTTGTACCAATATTCATGAATCTTCTAGTAGAGTTCACAAGTCTATGTTAATTTCCAAACGTTGGCTTCACATGCATGGTGCATTTGATGAACTTCTCAATTCGTCAAAGTAGTCATTGCATTAATAAATTGAACTCTTTCCAAATGAGATTTTGTAGAGAAAATTTCTTCATAGCCAATTTCTTTTATGTCGTCCATACAAATACTTTCAAGTAATTAATGTTACTTGTTATTTATCTCTTTGCTTCATAAATGCTCCCATTCTCACTGCAAATATTTCTCAAACTTAATAACAAGTTTACACCTCTCAGGTTTTCTTCTCCTTTTTCCTTCAAGGAATTCCACTTTCCAAGAATCTGTTTTCATTCTTAGATATGTTGCAATTATCTAGTAAGCTCAAATATCTTCACATTAGGGAGATTCAAGCTTCCTCCAATTTTTTTCCTATCCTATTCCAAATATTTAGCATTGTCGAAAAGCAATTCCTTTTATTGATTGCACCTTTCTTCCTACCGTCTTAACTCTATTTCTAAAAATGAAGATTTTCCATCCTCTCAGTCTTGGTACTTCTAAACTACTTAGCCTCTTTAAAAACTTGCAATTTGCTACTAAGATGATCTTCTCAAGTTCATCTTTGAGAGCTCAGTTAAAACTTTAATATTTTTAAATTCTTCTTCTCCTTTATGGAGCTTTATTTTTCCTTCGAGGCTTCGAACTTCACTTGGATCGATCTCAATTTATCCTTGAACACTTCTCTTTGCTTTGTCAACATCTACTCCAATTTTCACAGTTTTTCCTCCATGTTGTTTAGCTCTCATCTACCTTCTATTCCAAATGATTAATTTCATCTTTTTTCTCTTTTTCTTAACAAATATGTTTTACTTCCATTTTCAATTCAAATTGTTTATTTAAGATTTCCAAAGGAACTAGCTGGTCATCAAGCATCATTTGGATATTCACTAGGAGTGGGGCAAAACTCTCGAACCGAACCCGAACAGAACTGAGCAGTTCTTCTTAAGTTAAATACTCGAACCGGTATCTGAATCGAGAATCGAAGGATTCAATTCAATTATCGATTCTAGATCAAAAACTAAATAAGAATCGAGTCTCCCTAATTTTTTTTGAAATTTATTTATTTTAAATAAGTCAACTTATTTTTTTCTCTAAATAATTTTGCTAGCTAGTTAATTCAGCTCAAACCCAAAAATATGATTTTTCTATTTCAATTTTCTGTACAAGTCCAACTTAATCAAATTGACCTAAGTTTTATCCAAAATTATTATTCTTTTGTAGTGTCATTTCTACTGTTCTGAAGAAATTGAATGGAAACTCGACAGCTCATCTCTTAATTATTGTAAGCTCACTATCGTTCTCTTCTAGTGATTTTAACGATCAAGTCTATGAAGAATCCAGCAAAGAGAAACGCAAAAGACATATAATATTGGACTACATTATTTTATAAGAGTTAAGATTAAACATATCATTATTTGAATTAATCTAGCCTTGTAAATATTAAAAAAAAATTTATAGTACAGAACCTGGAAATCGAATGGAACCGAACTGAATCGAATGGAATTGAATCTGAATGGTTCCATAATTAAATTTGGACCTGACAATTCCACTTAGTAAATACCTGAAAATTTTGGGTCCGTTCGATTCTCGCACCCCTAATCTCCACTTCATAGGAAGTCTCCTATATATTCCATGCTCGTTTAAATTTTATCGTCATAGCGTCTGAAATTTTTCTTAAAAGTCTCTAGATGTATTGCTCAATAAATAAAAGCTAATGCCTTAGGGTCCTTAATTCTCATTTCATTCAATTCTCCTGAAGAAATTGTTTTTTGTCTATTGTTCTGCAAACCCATTTCCCACAACTCTTGGGAATATTGTAACATCTTTTTTCGACTACATTTGCTGTAATTCTTCCAATTTAATTCAGGAATTTGTGGCCGCAACATGTTTGATGTCATCTCTAGTAATTCCTGAACAGAACTTTGATACGGCTTTGTTAGAAGCGTTGTGGAATCACAATTTAAAGCAAGCTCTCAACCTACAAGAATGCTATAAGAGAAAATGTTTACTTCTGAACATTGTGTTCCTTTTTTTTTTTTTTTTTTTTCTTTTTTTTTTTTAAATAGCTTTTTTCT